GGAGACCATTGAGTAAGCAGGAGGCGTACTGACGCCAGGGAGCGGTCCAGGCGGGCGCACAAGCCTTCCCCCGCGTGCGGGACTCGCACCGCCAGGAGATGGTGAGCGCCTTCACCCGAGACCCAATCAACATCATCACGACGCGTGAGAGACAAAAACTCACTGAGCATACCGCACATCCATTGCCAACAGTTAGCCACCAGCGTGCCATCATCGGGCTCCTGTCGGCGATGGACGATCGGCTCCCAGACTGACTGCACGCGAGCTCCTCGCCACCCCGCACGGGTGGTGGGAAGATCGCAAACGTCGAGTAGCTCCTGCTCGGCAGCATTGGCAAAGAGAGACCATACTTCATTCATGAGAGCCCAGGCCTCCTGAGAGGAGCCATGCTCAGACAAAAACTGCAGCTTGGGCAGGAGGCGCTCTGACAACGCCCACGTGGGAGGGGGGCGAGGACAGCCAATCGGGAGGTGGGTGGGGATTCGACTGTGACGCCGAAAGACCAACTGACGAACCTGAAGTGCATTCGCACGCAGCTCAAGCAAAACAGGACGGTGCGGTCTAACATGCCACGCACTGTCCACAGAGATGCTGGCAGACAGGGTGGACAGAGCATGTCCTACAACAAAGAAGTCGATGGTGGACGTAGACGAACTGGTGCGGCAGGTGATCGCAGCGGGCGCCATGATGACGGCCTTGACCTTCTGCACGAACCCCGTGGCCTCGACAGCGGCAGGTGAGTTGTTCCAATCTGCCGCAATGACCGTGAGCGGAGGCTGGATGATCTTGGCGCCAATCGCGCTGAGCATGGACAAATTCTTCTCACGCATGCCGTCATTGACGTGGAAATAGGCACAAACGATGTTGAACGAGAAACCAGGCAGGTCGACGGTGACCTGTATGGCACGATGCGGTACAATAGCCTTGCACGTCGGGTCGGTCCACCGCAAGCCGAACCCGTCGCGAACGAACACTCCAACACCAGCCGAGCACCTCTGCGTCGTAGGGTTGAAGGACGACTCACTGATGAGGAAACGCCAGCCCAGGGCGCGCACAGCGGCCAGGGACTGGGGCGCTGTGAGCTCGGACAAGCCAAGCTCCTGGGCGCACACGATGACACTGGTAGTCGTGGTGAGCCGCTCACGTAGCGTTGACCAACCAGAGCCATTGAACGTCTCGATGAACTGTGTCGCCGTCGATGTCTGCGGCAACTTCTTCCGACAAATCGGGGGTAGTGGTAACCTCATACACGACAGCGGCAGGCCACAGACCCTCGGGTGTACTGCACCATGGTGAGCATCACCCATGCCGCGGCTTCTTGGTGACGAGGCCGAGGGACTTGAACAACTCCTGGAGCTCCCGTTTGTCACCAGCAAACTTGGTCGTGGAGATGACCTGGGAGATACCTTCCTCGTCGACGTCAATGTACACATCATCATCCTCAGGGACGGGAACCGATTCACCACAGTCGGTGCCCTCATCCCCGACGGTTGGGCCAGCGGGGGCTGCCTGAGCGGCAGCAGCAGCCCGCACAGCCTCCTTGAACTTGTCAAAGACAGGCGACTCCACCATGGCCTTGAGGTCGGCGTCGGCCTCCAGCACAGTGGACGGGAGGTCAGGCAGCACGAAGGAGGTAGCATCACTCCCTTCAGGACGCAGGTCCTTGGGGCAAGACTCGCGCAGCTCCTCCTGGAGGGTAGCCACCAGGTCCTTGGCGGCCAGCACCTTGGCCCTGAGCTCACGGAGGTGCTCCTCAGCGGCCTCGACGACCTTGACCTGCGCACTGACGTCGGACTCGAGCTTCTGCTGACGCTTGATGGCATCCTGCAGCTTGTGCCCGAGCGTGGTGTGGCGTGCAAGTTGTGGCTTGGCATCATTCCTAGCCTTGCGCGCCGCTGCCAGAGACTGCTCGGCACTGACACGACTGGGGACATCAGCGCCCAAGCCCGACTTGGCAAACTGGGCGACGATACCTTCCCAGCGCTGCACCTCAAGATCGAGCGGGTCGGGCGGAGGCGCAGGCTCAGGAGGGGGCGCAGCCTTGGACTTCTGGAGGGTGGCGTACTTGCGCTTGAGCTCGGCGAGCTCACGGGCGATGTCGCCATCCCCACTGCCAGGCGGCGGTCCTGCCGCCCACGCACTCCCAGCACGGCGGCGACCACCTGCAGCCCCAGGAGCATGAGTCGGCCCACCGGCTTCCATCTGCTTGGCCGCCTTGCGCGCCTTGTCTGCGACAGACTGTGGGGCGGGGCGACCGCATCGGCACCGAATGCGCGATGCATAGTTGGCGGACGCGCCACAGGACGGGCAGCCCCAGAAGGGGCGGGTCGGTCCTGGCAGCACATCATGAGCGGGACTGGCCATCCAACCTGTGCGGGGGCTGGATGGAAACGAAAGAAGGCTCGCAGGCGCGCTGCCGCTCCGAAGAATGGCACCTGCAAGGCGCGCGAGAAACCTCGCGAGCCCGAAGCGGCTAGAAGGAGGAGGAGGACGAGGGGGATGATGAGGCGGAGAGAACAGGAATGGGCAGAGGACGAGGAGCAGGAGGAGGAAGAACAGGAGGAGGACGTCGATGAGGAAGGAAGGTCGGGAAAAAGGAAGGGGAACGAGGATGAGGATGAGGACGAGGGAGAGGAAGAGGCGGAGGAGGAGGTGGAAACGGACCGAGGCTGATGGGTGAGAAGGATGAGGAGGAGGAGGAGGAACGGGAACGTGGAGAACCCAACACTTCGGACAACATATTTCCGGCCCTGAGTCTACAGGCGCCCCGCGAACCTACCCACGAGGCGGGAGGTGCCGCGTGCGAGGCAGGCGTGGTGGAATGACCCCCACTGCTGCGGCCTGTAGGGGGCCCTAGCTGGAAAATCACACGGGTATGCTGTGATCAGGCCGCTCAAAATCTGGACTGAGCACCCGTGACAAAAAAAACGCCGTCGTCACACGCGCGGTGGCACGCGCGATGCACAGCGTGGGAACAACTGAGCAGCACCGCCTTGGGACATCCCCCGCAGCGGCCCAAGAGAACAGGCGACGGAGCAAGTGCTAATTGTTCGGGCGGCCCGATGATGGAGACGGGTGCTAGTACTGGTGCGCCGCACGTTGAGCGTCGATGAAGGCTTGGAGGTTACCGTCAATGGGCCCACCCAGGGCCAATGTGGGCTGAAAGGCCTCTTGCAAGCCGCTCCAGGCCTCCTGCGCTCGTTGGAACATGTCGCGCAGCGGGGCTGACTGTTCCTGAATCGGGTGGAGGGAAGACGCCAGCTGTTTGGCTCGCTGATGGAGCGCGTGGGTGCTGACGATGAAAATTATTTCGCGGTCCCCTGGGTGCTGACTGTTCGTCGCCGCGAAATGATGCGTGGGGGGGGCTTGCCTGCGGTGCGTACGCTGGGTGGTACCGCTGGCAAAATCGCCGTCATTCCTGACCTCGCGCCCGCCCCCGTCGGAACCCTGGCTGGTCGTATGTGGAGGCGGGTTGAAAAGGGGGGTCGGGGTACCCACTTGGCACGGACGCTCCTGGGCGGTCGTCGACTGACCGAGGAAGAGAGCGTGGCTGCGCGCGTCGGGGTTGCCCTCGACTGCGTTGTCTTCGCCTCGACAGTGATTCTGTAGAGGGAGATCGTGAACTAAGCCATGATTTAGCGAAGCCCCGAGCGCGAGAGGATCGACGTCCCCCCCTTCGTAATCGTCCGGCGGTGGCGACCAGGGGTCGTCGAGTTCGTCGTAGTGGTGCGGGCCTGGTGAACCGCCTGGCGGAGGTGGTCCTCCTTGAACACCTGTGTCCTGCCCCCCCCTGCCCAATGGTGAGCGGGCTCGGCGTCGTTTTCGAATGCTCGGGCCTCGAATGCCTGGCTCTCCTGTGAAGCACAAGGGGCGTCCGATGTCGCCGGTCCTATATGGCGATGGCCGGGCAATGGAGGACAGCGGCAAACTTGCGCCGCCACTTGGCAGCGTCAGCCGGGCTTTGTGTAGTAGTACTGTGAAGCCGCGCCCCCGCGGTGGCGAGTTCGTCAGCGTGACAACTGGAAACTTCAGCGATGGGAGTGATGCGCCTTTCGTTGATGCTTTGCTCCCTAGAAGCATGGGATCCGCGAGCTGCGCTGACACAGTAAGCGCAAGCCCGGGAAGGATCGCTGAGAGCTCTGGCGCGCCACGAGGCTTGTCGTCATCGTCGTCGTAGGCGGCGGCGCGGCCGGGATCCTTGAAGGTATTGTTGGAAGTCTTGTGGTTGTACTGGTTGTGCGCCCTCCCCGTCACCTGTCCTGGAAGGTGGACTGCTGCCCCGACGAACCCAAAATTAAGGTTTCTTGCCGTGGTGGACAATAAGCGGTGCACGACAGCGAGACTACGAGCGGATGAGCAGCGGGATGAACAACGGAGGGGGGGTCAGGCCAATGTTGTCGAAGCGCGGCGGGTCATGGCAAGGCCGTGGCAATGGGTCATGCTACTCCGCTACCATCTGGAGAAATGGATGTGATGAAGAATTAGAAACAGACGGAGCTTTCTGTATAGCGGACTGCAAATGTCTAGAAACTTGCCTAATCGCGAAACTGTCTTATGGCGGGTGCGGTGCACGGTACCGGCTGGAAAACAGCACCGGCTGGTGCAGGCGACTATGGGGTGAGACAAGCAGGACTGGAAGGCATACCGTTCGAGTGCAGGAGAAGGGAAAACAGGCTGATGAGGACGAGGAGAGGAAGAGGAGAGAGGAGAGAGGATAGCAGTGGACGAGGAGGAAAAGGAGGAGGAGACAGACGAGGAGGAGGAGGAGGAGGAGGAGGAGGTTGAGGGAGGAGGAAAGGGAGAAGGGAGGAGGAGCACAGCGTAGAAAGGGGGAGAAGGGGGGAGGAGGAGGAGGAGGAGGAGGAGGAGGAGGAGGAGGAGGAGGAGGAGGAGGAGGAGGAGGAGGAGGAGGAGGAGGAGGAGGAGGAGGAGGGAGGATGAGAGGAGGATGAGGTGGTTGAGGAGGTGTGCAGGGAGGAAGGTGGCCCTCCCCTGAAGGCCTTCGTGTAAAGGTTCTCCCTGGCCATGACCCGCAAAGCGCCAGACACGTTGCAGCTGTGCTGCTGCGTGGTCCTTCGCCGCAAGCCCCGTCGCGGCCCCGGACGCAGCACGCCCCAGACATGCCTCGTCGCCTCGTCGTCGTCGACGAGGACGACGACGTCGACGCCGCCATTGTCAACGACGTCGCCGCCACTGGCGCCGTCAACGACACCGCCACTGTCGTCGTCTTTGTCATCTCTGTCGTCGTTACGGTCATCGTTAAATACTCTTTTCTAGAGATCAATGACTGTTGCTGTATGGAAACGGTTCCAGGCGCTGTCGCGTCGACGCCGGCTGCACTTTTCTTTGACACCGAGGCTCCGCGGGGGCTTGCTTCCCAATCCCGGCCCTTGAAAGCCCAAGTGCACAGTGCGACGACATCGGCTCCCGCTCGATGCTTCCCCATACTTTGCTCTGAGACGCCATAAGAGGTCCGCAAACTCAGAACTGACTCTCTCGCCTGGGATTTCCCAAGTCCGCGAGGACCCAACTACGACGGCAACGGCTCCCGCTTGATACTTCCTCGCGATTTCCTCCGAAACGCCCTGGCCAAAGAGGCCCCCAAACTCAGAAATGGCTCCCTCGCCGGAGACCCCCTCGCACTTCAGGAACATTGGCGAAGGTTCAACTACAACGCCAATGGCTCACGGTCGATATTTCTGCATGGTTAACTTCGAGACACCCTGGCCAGAGGGGCCCCAAAACTCAGGAATGGCGCTCTCGCGTGACTTCCTCGCAATTCACTCGGTTCGTAAATTGCCAGCGGGCGCGCCAGCTGGCATGACGGCAGTTGCGGCATGGTGGGTGTACAGAGTGCACTGCTGAGTGCTTCGCTCAGAAACTGGTGTGGAAAGACGCCTCCCCAAAGGGGGTTTGTTATAGTTATAGACTTAGTTGACGAGGGAGAAACAAATAACGTCAAAGCAGCTTCTTAGACCACACATTCGCCAGATTGTCGTCTTTGTGGTCGTCGCTGTCGGCTTCGCCCTCGTCCTCTTTCTCCCTTCTATTCCTGCTCGTCCTCCCTCAGCCTCCTCCTCCTCCTCCTCGTCCATCCTCCTCCTCCTCGTCCCTTCTCGCGTCTCCGCCTGTCCTCCTCCTCCACCTTTTCGGTCGAGCCACCGTGCTGCGGGCATCGACTAGCGCTTCGAGTGGGAGCCACTTAGCAGATATCGAACCAAACATTCGATGCCTGCTCCTGTTTGTTGCTTTTCCCCCAAAAACTCGGGGGGGGGCCGCACGTCCAGAAGAGGGGTCGCAGATCGTGGCCCCAAGAATGTGCGCGGATGAGGGGAACAAACGAACGACGCGCTCCACCGGCCCCGTAACGGTCCCAAGACGGGTTGCGCGGTGGCGCATCAGTGCCCTCAATGATGGCACAACCAGCGTTGCACTGCCGGCGTTTGCACTGCCAGCGCGGTGCTCTCCAGCCAGCGTTTGCACTGCCCCCCCATGCCGCCAGACGCGGTTTTCTGGCTCCCAAATGAAAAAAAGCCTGTGCCCACGACTCGCTGTCAATACTCACGCGCCACGCCAACGAACTGCCGCTTTGCGGCGTTCTGCAACCCAATCATGTCGCTTCAGGCGCGCAATTCGTTGCTCAGCATTAGGAGTTGCGCTCTCTCACCCAATCGCCACAGGTCTCCAACTCCACGTCGCAATCGTGTGCAGTCTCTCTGAAAGATTGGTAAATATGGCGAAGATGAACCTGTAGAGCCTGACTGCTGGCGCTCTCTGCGCCAGGGCGCGGACGAGGGGGGGGGGGGGGACGGGTGACGCTGGCAGCTCTGTGTCGCTGGACGGTTGATTCTAAGCCGCGTCTACCTCGCAAAGCGAGGGGGGAATCCTCGACAAGAGCCTTGCCCCGACTTGTGGCCGCTGCGGTCGCCGCGGCGACCTCTCAAACCGACCCGGAGGCTTGGTTTGGTTGGGGGTCGGATATCACGCAATGATCGGATTCGAGTTGGAGGGTTCAAGTTGGCCTACCAGGGCCGTCAGGAAAGCCACGGGGCCCTATCTGAAACTTGGCGCGAGCTCCCGCCGCAGACATCCCACAGAAATAGGACCGTCAAGGTTCAGGACACGGGCCGCCAGAAGGCGTCGGCCGAAATCCGAATTCTGGCGAACTCGATGTGACACGGGCCCTCCGGGGACGCAGCCGCCCCTGCGCTCCGAGCGGGCGCCCTTCGCGCAGGGGGGGCGCCGGCTCGTTTGGCGCAGAGGGCCGAGCATGCTTTCACCGACCTCCATCGCCACTGGCGCGACCCGGGCCCCACTGGCCGACGAACCCCCGAAAATAAGGATGTAGGTGGCCTCCGAGGGGAGTGCACTCGACTACCCCGCCCCGAGAGGCCCCCAAGAGCCCCCCAAGAGGCCCAAGGGGGCCCCAAGACGCCGCCAAGGAGCCCCAAGAGACCCCCAAGAGGCCCCCAAGAGGCCCCTAGGAGGCCCCAAAGAGGCCCCCAAGAGGCTTCAAAGAGGCCCCATAGAGCGCTCGAGGGCCGGCGGAATGAGCGAAACGATCAAATAAGGATATAGGCCGTTCCCTTCGGGTTTCGAGGGGACCATCCCCAGCTGGGGTGGTGGGATGGTGGTGCCGAGATGCCATGGCCCAGTGGGGATGGGCATGGGGGTCGGATGCGCAGTGCTGAGCGGTGGCGACGCGGCTGGTGGCGGGTGGGTCGCTTGTGCAGGCCGCGCGCGCAGCTGTAGCGGAGCGGAAGCCAAGGGCAGCAAAAACACCCGGACCCGATGATTGGCGCTTGCTGAGCGGCCCTGGGCGTCCACTAGACAGCCCTGCCCTGATCGATGCTTCCTTCGGGTGCGCTCACGAAACGGCTTCGCGTGTCGGGGTGATTCTTAGGAGGGTGGACTTTCTGCCCTCCAGGAGGGGCGCGCGGAGGCTCGCCAAGACGAGCGAGGGTGCACTGAGCATCGTTTGGCCGATCCCCATCCCCAGCGGCGTGGCCTGGGCCCCACTGGCCGATTCTTACCCCCCTGGATGGGGATATAGGTCGCTCCCTTCGGGTCTCGAGGGGTGTATCCCCAACTGGGGCGGTAATTTGGCGGGGGTCTCGAAGGGGATTTGAGCAGGGACCGACCGTCCCGGCATTCCTATAGTCCTACCACGAAATGTTCCTAGAACCCAACGATGTTCTAAGAGCAAAAAAAAGTTCTTAGAACATAAGCCCGACGTGTTAAAATAAGACAGGCTCCGCCAGAAATGTTCTCAGAGCATCTCGTGGGAACCACGAGAGGCTCTTAGAACACTGTTCGGTGGGGCTATAGGCGAGCCAGGATGCTTCGCCACTGCTTGAGGGATGGGGATGGGGATCGGTCAAACGACACCGAGCTTCGGGTCCCGGCGCCTCCCGGCGCCGGAGGCGGCCATGTATCGAGGACTGGGCCCCTCGGTGGGGCCGAGACCAGCTGCATGCAGCAGACTTCGCAACCCCCTCTCTCCCAATCCCCCCCTTTCGTTTGGCCGGAGATGGGGATGGGGATTTACCAGCTTGGAACGGGAGGGGTCCCCCCACGGCGCTCTGCTCGGACTTCGTCTATCGTGTTTTTTGTTGGAGGAGCAGGAGATGGGAGCGGACAGAGCTATAATTGGACTTCATTGGACATGACGCGCGAGAGGACGAAGGACCCTTCTGGGGGCCACATCGCGTTATAGGAGTGTAAGAAGGCACGTGCCGCGAGGCACAGGACACAAAGGTACCCTTGAGCTGGCAGGTCGACCTACTGATCCGGGCCGACTGTGCTGTTTTTGTTGGAGGAGCAGGAGGTGGGAGCGGACAGAGCTAGTATGCAGTCGTCGGCCTGACCTCAGGAACGATCAACAAGGAACGAAGCCCCTTGTTACGCACAAGGGACGATACGTGATACATAACGCATAACGAACGATCAATAACGCATGCGAACCTAAAGAACGACCGAGCCCCTTTAGAAAAGGAAGTGTTCCTTATTCAAGCCGCTCACTGTACACCTTGTGGTCGACAACCGCGGGAGCGGACAAGTCCTGCTCCCCACTGGAAAAAGAGGCGGAAAGGCAAGGGGGTCACCTGTGACAATTCTATTGCCCAGGCGAGCGGCGGAGGGGGAGGGCTTCGTCCAGACTGCGAGGTGGCCCGATGCACCTTCAAGGGAGAGCGATGGGGGGGGGGCCGGGTCAACAGGAGAAACATCGACCTGGAATCGACAATACATCGCCGAGAGGCCCCAGATAGCGGTACTGCACGTTCCTTCGCGGGGTGGGCTATCAAGCCCTCATCGGCGATACATGTAGGGAGCCCACAAAAGACGTACGCGCCCAGCCACGTACATGGATACGGCCGCAAGTCCGCGAGACCAGCCTCGTGACACGAACGTTCGCGCAATGCGTTCTTTCGAAACCATCGCGGCTTCATGTACGTTTACGTCCTTCTTTCGTTCCTGAGCATGGGCGACCACGGGTCGATGTATCCCCCCCAAGCCAATCCCCCCGTATCGTTGCCTTTGAATGTTGCTGTGCTCAGACTTAGTCTAAATTGCGAGCTGGCCCGATGCGCATTGTGGCCGAGCTTGACCTCGCCTCTCTTTGCTAGCCTTTTCAGCATCTTGGCACCCCGATCCGAGACGTGCGGCGGAGGGGCATGGTCATGCAAAGGGTGGCGGCCCCAGGCGTCAGCGCCTACAATTTGGCTGACGCTCCCATTGTAGATGCGTTTCCTCGCCCTGCTTCTCCTCCTTCTTCGTCCTCCTTCTTCTCCTTCAGCAGACAACAAGCCGAATCGATCTACGCTGACTTCGAGGCCAACGCGTTGCCATTTCCTTATAAGAGCCCCTACCCAACCGCAACTCATGGTTGAGTCCCCTCCCCGCCAATCGGGAAACCCATACGCTGATCCGACTTCCGCTTCTCTGGCGAGGGGGTTGTTTCCCCACCCATCTCCATCCCCCTCCCCCTCCTCCTCCTCCTCCTCCTCCTCCTCCTCCTCCTCCTCCTCCCCGTCCTCGGCCTCCACTTCTTTCTCCTCCTTCTCCTCCTCCTCCGCCCCTCCCCAGTCCTCCCCCTCCTCCCCCTCCATATTCGCCCACCTCCTGCTTCTCCTCTGTTTCCCGCTTCGCAGCCCCCCCCCCCTGGAAGGGCATTCGTCGGTGCCCCGCTCGCTGCTCGCTCCACTCGCCCTCCTGCTCCTGCTGCTGCTGCTCCTGCTCCTCCTCCTGCCCTGCTCCTGGACGGCAGCGGCCCTCCGCCTGGCAGTCAGCACGGGCAGGCCCTCGCTCTCCCGCCTGGGGCCCCCTCTGCACTCTCGGGGCCCCGCTGGGGGTGGTGGGCTGGGCCGTACTCCGTGGCATGCATCTGCCAGTCCGTGCTGTCTCGTCCGCATGAGATGTCCAGTCTGGTCCTCCTCTCTTGCTCTTCCCTCTCCCGCTGCTGCTACTGTTCCCCGCCCGCCCCTGGAACCTCTCCACCCCTGCCCCCTTTTTTGACCTTGATCAGACCTGGAGATCGGTGCTGGTTGCGTCCTGGAGAGAAGCAGTGCGGGGCCTCAAGGAACACATAACGCCGACTCAGGCCGGGGCAAACACATTCAGGCAGTCGCCAGTGCGGATGTGCAAGTGCAGGAAGATGCGGAAGAAATATCCCTGCCCCTCCTCCTCCTCCTCCTCCTCCTTCTCCTCCTCCCCCTCTGCCCCCCCCACTGGGCGACGTCGACCAAGACCAAAGCGTCAAGACGGCGAGGACGCTGAAACGAAGCCGGCCAGGTCCAGCGCGCGAAGTTCAGGAACTGCAGGGTCAAGTACTTCGTGCCACCGCCCTCCGAAGGGGGCGCCCGGCCCGGGAGGGGCGGAGAGGAGGACTCGGCCTGGGCCTCCGCCTCGTTCACAGCCCTCCCCTTCTCTTGTCCCTGCCTCCTGCTCCTCTTCCTCCTCCTCCTCCTCCTCCACCATCCGAAGCCTCCTCCCTCTTCCTCCCTCCGCCTCCTCTTCATCCTCGCTCCTCGCTTCTCCTCCTCCTCCTCCTCCTCTTCCTCCTCCTCCGCCTCCTCCTCCTCCCTTCTCCTCCTCCTCCGCTTCCTCCTTTTGCCTCCTCCTCCTCCTCCTCCTCCTCCTTCTCTTCCTCCTCCTCTATCCCTTTTGCTCATTCATAACTTCACCTTCTCGTATCCCCAGGCGTGTCAGTAGGGCGGGCCAGGTGTTTCGCCGGAGACTTCCTCATCAGTCGTGATCCTGAAACTTGAAACGTGCAGCAGTTTCACGGATCGAGGGCGTGTCGTTTTCAAACTGTGGCTCTCGCCTTAGCGCCGCGCGCATCCGTCAATCCCACCAGCCCTCTGGGCGTAGGTGCTTTAGAGATTTACCTCTGCCACCCCTCCCTCTTCCCCTTCGGGGAGGGTTTACCCCTCCCCCTGACCCCCTCCTCTGGACCTGGACGGGGGGGGCGGCGAGCGGTCAGGGCGTCCAACACGGCCTCGGCGAGGAAACCAACATCATTGGTTTTTATCAAGGTTTTGGCCCCGTCTTGGCCCCTGAGAGGGGGCAGCGCGAATTGCGACCATCCCCTTCTTTGGTCGATGTCCTCAACGATCGCCCCAGGCCCTAAGAGGCCCCAGGATGGCCCCAAGAGGCCCTCAAGAGGCCCCCAGGAGGCCTCCAAGAGGACCCCAAGCGGCCCCAAGAGGCCCCCCCGAGGCACCCAAGACGCCAAAGAGCTCCCCAGGACCGCCAGGAGACCCCCAAGACGTCCCAAGAGACCACCAAAAAGCGCCTAAGAGATATCCCGAGAGGTTCCGAAAGACCTCTGGCCCTTTTGCTTGCCCTCCTCCTCCTGCTCCTCCTTCCTCCTCCTACTCCTTCTCTTCCTCTTCCTCCTCCTCCTCTTCATCTTCCTTCGCCCCACTCCCTCATCCATCCATCCAGCCTCCTCCTTCTCCTTCTCCTCACTCCTTCGCACGGTTCGGCCGTCCCCCTCTTTGCTCCCGCACTTTCCTGACTACCTCAACTCGCCTAGTTATCGCTTATGGATGGGCTGGTGGGGGTACTTTTTTTGATTTGCGGGCCGCAAGGAAAATTCCAGAGGGCGCGTCAATCGGCAATGGGGCGCAATGCCAGATAATGAGGGATGCAGCAGCCCACTGGGCGAATGCCAGCGGAAGCCAACGAGGAGACGCCCTGACGGCGCCAGCTCGCAAGCGGAGCTGCCACGGACTGTCGGCAGACTGCGCACAGGGCCAGTGCTCACAGGTGGGGGGACCTGACCAGCGGCCTGTAAGGAAAAACCCAGAAAGCAAGACAATTGCACAAGCAGGAGCCGGGCCAGAAAATGAATGCCAAGCAGCTGGACGCGCAGGCCGATGCCACGCGGCCCAACAGCCCGATGCCAAGAGTGCACATGCAACGAACCACTGAGCGATTGCCAGCGGAAGCTACGAGGAGTCGCCCTGAAGGCGCCAGCTCGCAGGCGGAACCGCCACAGACGCCGGGCACAAGGCCTGTACCCCTGCAGCCGCTAGGGACGTAGCCCAGGAAGAAGCGGGAGGTGGCTGGAAAAGAGCACTAAGGCAGAGTGACGAGGCGGACTCATTCACAGAGCACCCGGTGCTCGTTGGTGGCCCTCCAAGGCCCACCCGACTGAGAACAGACGACACCTTCCAAGTGTCGGTGGGCCAACGACCTGGAAATGACGAATGAAAAAGAGCTGCCGTTACGAGCACCACATCCCGTGACGCTGAACTTCGGGTCACGAAGCCACTGATACCACGGGAAGGAGCCTGAGGCAGTCACCAGAGGACCCGCCACCAGGGGTGGCGATCGTGGCGCGTGGCGCCGTCGATGGGGGAAGCCACGTGGGCACGCCGTCGGACTTCAAAGGGTGAAGTGTGAGGGGGGTGGCCTTCAGCCAGTCGCCTCTGTCTCCACGGG